AAAGCACTTGCCACTCGTCGATTCGACGAGCCGCCTCCATCAGCAAATTCGTGTTGGACTTTTTAATCGTCCGTTCTTCGGTATCAACGGCCGCCTTGAACTCGAATTCGCCTTCTTGCCAAATCGCCAGCTCATAGACCGCATTTTCGCCGGTGGTTGCGCCGGCGACGGCATGCACAATCTCCCCATCACGGAGGTAAATCTCACCTCTCTGCGTGGGGGACTGAAGAACGAACACTCCCGTCTTTCCCGACACCGAAACCAGCTGGATGATGTCGGGAAGAGGGAGCTCTTTAAGTGACCCTTGGAAGGCCATGTTGTGATTCTAGCCTATTGAAGGCGGAAGTTCACCGTCAGATTGTAGTAGACGTCCACAGGCTTGCCGTTGAGGGTAGCCGGTTTGAACTTCCACTTCTTGATCGCTTCGACAGCTTGCTCCGAGAGGCCCATGGGCAGCCCTTTGAGCACTTTCACGTTGGTGACGTTTCCGGCCTTGTCGATGATCGCCTGCACGATCACTACACCTTGAATGCGCGCTTTGCGGGCGATCTCGGTGTATTGGGGCTGCGGAGCCGAAACTTTTTCCGGCTTCTGCACGTCACCGCCGACGTGAATGGGACCTTCCGGCTCGGCGACGGGCGGAGCATCGGGAATACCGAAGACAATGTCGTCGACCTCGGGGAGATCCACTTCAGGCTCGGGCTCTTCCAGACGGATGGGCTCCGGCTCGTCGGGCGTCGGATCCGGAATAGGCACCTTCTTGGCCTTCGGCTTCGGGATCTCCTGCTTCTGCTTCGGCGGAGGCGGCTGGAACCGAACCTGCTGAACCACGTAAACCTTCTTCTCTTTCTCCTGAGCCGTGGCCTGCTTGGCGAAGCTCGGCAGATTGATGACGAAGAAGATGATGTGGAAGATGACCGCGCCGATCAATGAGAACCTCATCACTCGGTTATCTTCGCGCTCCTCTTCCAGGAAGATAGAGGTAGTTCCACCGGCGAAATCGATTTCGCTCTTCTTGGGCGGTGCTGTGGGTTTATTTTCTGCCATGGGTCAGGACCTCAGAACCAGAAGGATTCGATTTCACGCTGGGTGGGAATGGAAATGTTGATGTCTTTCCCTTCGTCCCATTCTTCGTCCGTCATTTCCGGACGGTCCGCTCTCTTAATGAGCTCGCGTTCGAAGATTTTTGCTTGGCGCAGGACGTCGAAGACAGCCACCATCCCACCATAAGGCGCGTTTTGGTCGGGTTTGATGATCACCGGTTTCTTCGGATTGTTCTCAAGCTTCGGTTTGAGATACTCGAGAATGTCTCCTTGTTCCATCGGTTTCTGGTCGACGAGAAGATCACCGTTGGGAAGGATCTCCACCAATACGGAATCTTCTTTCTCGACCACCGGGGGCTGATCATCGTCTTTGGGCAAGGAGAAGTCCAAGCCACGGGTCGCCGCGAAAGTGGTCGTCACCATGAAATAGATGATCAACAGGAAGGCAATGTCCGCCATCGACGAAGTTGGAATTTCGTCATCCGGCTTGTTTTGTCGCAGCTTCATGTTCAGCCTCCGGACAGCTCTTCAACTGTCTTCTGCTCCGACAGCAGGTAGATCAGCTCGACCTTAGCCTGCTTCAAGGAATCAATGATGCGATCGATGTGGCGATAGGGCACATCGGCATCGGCTTTCAAAACGACGGGACGCTTCGGGTACGAAGCAACGAGGTTCGCAGCGAAGGCGTCCACGTCGTCAACGCGCCCCACAGGCGTGCTCATGGATTCACCGTCGGTCACTCGAATTTGCCCTTGCTCGGTCACGGAGATGTAAGCCGCGATCTTGGGCACCTCGAATCGAAGCTCCGTTTTGGGCAGCGCGACCTGCGTCTTGTCTTTTTCAAAGGTGATGGTCACCATGAAGAAAACGATCAGCAGGAAGGCGATATCCGCCATGGAGGCTGTCGGAATGATCGACTGTTGTTCGTGGCGTGCTTTGAGGCGCATCTAGTCAGCCCGTCCTTATTTCTTCTTGTCCGCGCCGGCTGCCGCTCCAGCACCGGCTTGCTCAGCGGTGATGCCGCTACGCTCCATCTCACCGAACGTCTCCAGCAGCATGTTGGTCGAGGTCTCGATGTCACGGACCGACTTGTTGATGCTGTTCATGAAGAAGTTGTAGGCGAGCTGGGTCGGAATCGCGACGAGAAGACCGGCAGCCGTGGTCACGAGGGCCTCGGAGATACCGGCGGCCACCGCGCCCGGATTCGAGAGACCCTGCTCAGCGAGGGCCTCGAAGGACTGAATCATACCGGTCACCGTACCGAAGAAGCCGAGGAGAGGCGCCACGTTCGCCACCGAGGCGAGGAGCACGAGACGCTTCTCGAGACGAGCCAGCTCGTGGAGCGACGCGGTCTCGATGGTCTTCTCAATATCTTCTTTCGGCTGACCGTACTT